CTTATATTTTAGAAATGAATTTAAAATTTTTCAAATTTTATAAATTACAATTATAATAAAATTACATTTATAATAAATTTATAATTAAAGTAATCATCGTTCCTTCATTAAACTTTGTTGTAAAAGTGCAATTTGCCTTAATTTTTGTAAACCCATCAAAAGAAAATGCAAGATCAAAAAAGTAGATCATTAAGAGTACGAATCCTTGATACACCCACAAATGATTTATTACAGCCTGCGGCAATGTCAAACCTTGTGACATATGAATCGTAATTGCCCAGGCAAGACATAAAGGAAACTTCATGCGAGAGCAAGTTCCTGATTTTCCCTCCCAAGTGTATTTAATAGGTCGAAATGATACTACTTTGTGGTTCAATATAAATAATGTTGGACCAATATACTTATCCATTTCAAGCAGAATTTATAGGCGGTGAGGGTGGATCCTTCTTAGTGTTTCTTTATTTGTATGTTCATTTTGTTCTTCTCCTCTTTAATATAGTCATTTGCCGTTAATTGATGATTTCTTGATGTTTTTTGTGATTCATTTAGAGATGCTGGTCCAGCATCTTTAGATTCATTTTTTTTTCTGTAGTTCTTAGATCATTAAATTCATTCATTTTCTTCTACTGTAGTTCGTTATTTCTGGCTATTTGCTCAGGCTGTAAATTCGTATTCTTGCATTTTAAGAATTTTTATTTTCGTGAATTACGTGATTAATTTTTGTCACAATATTTTATTTTTAAACTACGATCTTTTATTTTATTAAAAACCAATTTCTATAAACTAAAATTTAATTAAGTATCCATATATTGAATCTGATTTAAGCTCAATTTCCGAATGCTGAACCTAAATCAGGGTCAGTTAAACCGGGAACCGGACATTTTGAAATGTCAGAGTAAGGCTTTAAGGCTTTCATTTCGCTCCTCTCAGCTCCAGCCAATTAATTAAATTAAATTTAATTATTAAACTATTTAAGTTAAAATTTGATGATTTTACTAACTAGGCTCTTGAAATGTCAAAGGGAGTTAGAAATATTATGATCTTAAATAGCTGATATTAAATTGTTATTACGTATAATTAATTGTTACTATAGTTGTTAGGCAAAACCAGTGAATAATATCTGAAAAAATTTTTGTGGGTTTTGAGAACATATAATAATTTTTGGTTCTAAAAATGTTCTCAAAAAAATTTTTATAATTAAATTTATAAATTTCATGTTCTCAAATGTTTTCAAAAAGAGAACATAATTTTTAACTTTAATGTTCTCAAAAAAATTTTTAATGTTCTTGAGAACACTGAGAACATCAGATATTCCTCACTGGGCGAAACTGTTTTGCGCAAATGACGAAAGACGAAACCTAAACCCAAAAAAAGACAAAAGGTGATGAAACCCTGACGAAAGACAAAACCTCTGGTTAAAGGCAAAACTGGCAAAAGACGAAACCTTTGACAAAATGCGAAACTTGCAAAACCTCCGGAGAAATAGAAACACCAAAACTTTAATAAAAGGCTGAGTTACAGTTAATGCCACCTCAAGTTAATTCGGTGGTTTACATTACCCTCTCCCTCATAGTAAAAAAATAACAAGGATTACGGGCTCAGAACATTTTTATATAGAACGGAATATTTCGGAAAAAAATTTATTATGTAAACCCATTGACCCCCTTTTGAAGTGGCGATGTAATGTAAACCACCAAATTAAATTGAGGTGCCATATGAATGAAAACTTCTGTTTTTTATGATTATAAAAGTTATGCACTGTATGTTGTTATATTCCTTACCAAATTATTATATACAGAGTTAATGTCTAACATACAGTACATGCTTCAGAGGAATGGCTCAAAAGAGCCATTTCAGATTATCATATTAATTATCTTGAACGTTTACAAACCCTGCAAAGATTAGCAGAGGTGATTTCAGTAAAGTTTTCAAATATGGAAAGATTGTGAATTAACTGTTGCTCTTATATTTTGGCATTAAAGCAAAATATTTGCGCAAAATAATGACTCAGGGTATTATTTAGTAGTACCTAGCCATGGAAAAAATTATCTAATTGAACATCCGGGGAAAATCCACAATCCCAATAACATTGTTTTTGTAAATTTTCAATAAAAAAATTTTTATAACAACCCTAAGAATTCATAAAGGTGAAATAAAAAATTCTCATTGATTTCAAATAAGTGGATATTAAGATATCTTCATTTTAATAATTGCTTAAATTTTTTTAAACATTGTATAAAGATATCAATAATCACTCATTCAAAATTAAAAAAAAAAAAAATTATTTCAATTCTGTGAATATATAGAATTAAAATAAAAAATTTTTTATTGATTTTAAATAATTGGAAATTTAAAAAAACTTGGTTCAGAAATTTGATTTTTTAAACTTTGAGCAAGTATATCTCTATAATTACTGTATTTAATTTTATGAATTCGTGGAACTGAAATGAAAATTTTTTAAATTATGAATAATTACTTGTTGAGATACATCACTCAAAGCTTAGAAAAAACTTTGTTGTAACATTTGTTTTGATAGTTACCTAAATTAACCTTAAAATTAATGAATTTTTTTTTTTTTTAAATATGATACCAATTCGTAGAAATAAAATATAAAAATTTTATAAGTGGCTATTGAGATATCTTCACTCAAATTTTGGAAAAAATTAAGGTGATTATTAAAACAGAAGTTAAAGCAAAGTTTTTGCTAAATTTTGAATGAAGATATCTTGATATGAAAATCAATAAAAATTGTGAGTAGTTTCAAGAACAGGTAACCCAGTGACACTCGGCCTAAGTTAGGGTTAGGCTTAGGCCTATTTAGGGTTAGGATTAGAGTATAATTCTATATACATGCTACCATATTTGTAAAGAACTGCAAAACCAAATCACTAAGCTCAACTGAATTTTTAGAATAAGATTTCTGCCACCCAACAAATACATCGCTAGATGACTACTGGATATACAGTGTTCCAAACTTTAAATTCGATGAAAGTTGGTGAATATTTAAGTAAAGGACCATTTACTCTGTCTTGCACTAATACAAAATGTAAGGAAGGTCTATACTGTATCTCCTAACTAGGGATGGCTACTGCGCAGGCTGCGCAGAATTTTTGAGAGACTGCGCAGTGTAATTTTTATAACTCGGGCCGGCCAGCATAATTCTGGCCAGTTAGCATAATGCGGGCTTGATATTTTTTTATATTTAAATTAGTAAGATATCCTATCAAAATTGTTACAACCGATTTTTGTAATTGTCTAAGAGTGACAATAGGACAAAATTACTCAAATTTTACTAAGAATCACAGTTACGCATTAAGTGAAAACTATGTCTGGGTTAATTTTGCATAGAATCAGGCCTAGTTTCTCGAAATTTCTATTTTTGTTAATTTCGGCCGAAAATTACATAATTTATGTAACGTGAGCCAAAATTTTGTCGATCATAGCCGTTAGCTAATCAAATTCGAGAATCTGCCGTGAAGCGGCAGCTGATGATATGCGCATTTCATGTGCAGCCATCCCTACTCCTAACCCAAACAGTGATTATTTTTCACTGTGCAGCTGTGCACAGCACACAGAAGCAAAAATTTTGCACGCACTTTTTTTTAGAAAAGGTGTATTGTATTTCACACAAAAAATTTAATAGTGTGCAAGCAATTATGTACAGTTTTTATTTATTTTATTTTTCGCAGAGTAAAATTTAAGTTGTGGTATCCGCACAGTAAATTTAATTTACCGATTTTGTGAAACCTATTCCGCTTTAGTCACCCTTTTTGGTTTGTATTATTTGGATATTTAAGTGCTCTCAACTCAACTCTAGATTTCTCAATAGATTGCAAACTAGTATTGGAACCTAAGTAAGTTACGATCTTTCCATAGTAACTCACAAAAAGTTTTTGAGGTGGCAACCTAGATTACAACTTATTTAGACCGCAACTTACTAACTTTAGTTACATATCATGGATCACATGGAACACATGTGCAGCATGAGAATTCGGTAGAACACGTTGGAATTTCTAATTCTGTGATTATGATAGCGATAGCGTATGCGCGGTTTAGTTCAAACTGTAATACAGATATTTGTACATACGTGCGTACGTACGTAAGTACAGAAGTACCAGATACGAATCCTAATGAAATCAACATACTAAACTTCATCTATTAGATTTTTTTTAAAAAAAATAAATTCATACATTTTAGCTTAATAGGTTTAATAAGACCATCTTGAATTTTTAGCTTGACAATTGTAATGAATACCGGTATGTCATCATGGGGTTAATGTTATAATGTCGGCACAAACAAATTCCTGAACTTTTTTGTTATTATCTTTTTATGTGCAGTATTTGCTCAGGTAAAACTAAGACTTTACGTCATTATTCGCATTTAAAATCGTAATTATATAACAGACCATTTGATCCAAAAAATTTTCTTTGTATGATTTACAATATTACTACGTATCGCTCTAGATACTATCTAAATCCAGTAGTTTGTAATAGCTATTGTGTATACGTATCCTGTAGATACTCGATTATATAATGAATATAAGCACACTTCACAAAAATTACGGTTTAATAAAAACTGTGTTTACTATCCGACGAGAATATAAAATTGTACAACTAGTGCAATGTATGACTTTGATCATTATTGTGATACTGCATTACAATAACATTTCTCCAATCGGCAAATATGTTTAATTTTATGATTTTTTTAATACAAAGGTAATTCCTTTATTAAGCCATACAAAGTTAATTGGTCGTTAAACTTTTTGATTTCTAACTTAACCATAAAAAATTCTATTCAGAAAAATATAATAAAATTCTTTAATTTTTTTTAAAAAAAAAACCATTTAAAAGTATTATTTATTTATTTATTTTTATAATAATTACACAAGTTTTTTTAAGATTCATTCAAGCTGATTTAGTTGAGCTTTGAGAACATTAATTTGATAAAATAATAAAAAAATACAAAAATTCTTAGTTTAGAGAATCATATAATTTGATAAAATGGAATCAAACCTTGAAGCCATAGTAGAAACAAAAATAGAAGAGGATGTCAGCTTAGATAATATTTCACTTGAAGATAAACCTCCCGAAAACAATATAATCGATACCATTACCAATACAGCATCAATGACTTCATACGAAGAACTTAATAAAAAACATCAAAGTTTTGTTCAAAAAAATCTTAAAATGTCAACAGATCTTATAAATTTTCGCATGAAAATTGAGGAATTAGAAAATGATAATAATTCAATTAGTATTGAAAAGACTCAAATAGTATCAGAATTAGAGAAAATTAAAGAAGAACGACAACAATTGGAAGAAGAATGTCTTGGACTTAAAGGCGATTTAAAAGAAGTAGAAGGTGAACGTGACAAGTTAGCAGGGTTGATTAATATAATGAAAATTGAATGGGAAAAACAATATCAAACTCTTAAAGCAAAATTTCAAGAATCAGAACTCATACGATCTTTTATAGAATCACGAGTAAACGAATTACACGAGGAACATAATAAAATACGATCCGAAAGAGATGAACTTAGAAACTCTCACGAAAAAGAAGCCGAAAAATTGCAAACAATCGAGAATCAAAAGGCTGCTTTGTTAAAAGTATTTGAAGAACAACAGAATGGTGTTGAGATGTCAATGAAAGGGATGGCCGCAGAAAGGGAAGCTTGGCAACAACGTGAAGCTGAACTTGTTGACAAACAAATAGTCATAAAAGATACAATAAAAAAAAAAGATTCTGAGATAAATTCTTTGCGTAAAGAAGTAGAGACTTTATTAACTGACAAACGTACATTAAAACAAAAATTAATAGAAGCCGGTAAAGAAAAAGTAATAGCTGATGGACGAATTCGAGAATTAGAATCTGTGAGAAAACAATATGAGAAAGAGTTAATGAAATTGAAGGATGGAGATGATAGATCTATAATTCAGTTAGAATATTCCAAGAAACAAATTGATATGCATAAAGCACAAATTGTAACACTAACGAAAAAATTAGCTGAAGCTGATGCTGAAAAACGAAGAATGATGCAAGTATTTCAAAAGACTATGGAAACTTCGGAAAGAAATAGTGCAAATCTAAAAAATGAACTTGATTTAATGAGACAAGAAAAAGAAAATCTCATTCGTAAAAAATTCCATGGAAATTCGATTAATGAATCGCTATCGCAATTGGAAACCAGTGACGGTCAAATAATTAATAGTAATGATAAAATTGATATATTAGAACAACGGATAGCTGGATTGGAGAATTCATTGAAAATATCTAATTTAGAGTGTGATCAATTGAGGGAAACACTAGCACAGGTACAATTCAAGTATTTAGATGCAATAAATGACAAAGATCAGTTGACACAAATGAAACGTAATTTGGAAAAGAAAGTAAAATCAATGGGAGATCAATTAGAAGATGTATGTATAATATTTATAATCAATTTGTCTGAAAATAGATTTAATTAACCAATTAATTAACCAATTCTCCCCTTTTTTTTTCTCATAGGTATTAGCAAAAAATTTAGAACTGGTGGTTCAGATAACTTCGAAATAAATGTTTACGTTTAAAATCAAATTTATATATCATTTGTGTCATAAAATTTCATCACCCATTAACATAGAACAATATATAGATATTATGTGAATATAATAAGTCTATTCCCAGCCGTGTCGCATATAGCATATTATATAAAAAAAATTACTTTAGATAACATATATAAAATTCTGGTCGGAATTCTGGTCGCTTGGCCAAAATTAACTACTTTTGTCTAAAGTCACTCAAAAATTTTACTAATGAAGTTAGCCCACTCATAAGTAAAAATGTCCGCTCGATAATTTCCTATAATTAGTATACATAGCATAGCTATGGTTGTATTACTTATACGTTTCATGAAATTATCCGGTAATCGTAAATTACGCAACTATAACGGTAATATAACTTTACATTCAATTAGGGTTGTGTTACGAAAAATTCTTACATTTCATCATATCGGCCCTTTTTCAATAAATTGTTATACTCTAATTAACGTTGAAAAAGTAACGAAACGCGTCATAATCAGTAAAAGAGCTTTTGTAGCACATGTAAGAGATAAAAAACAAATAAAAACAAATAAAAAGAAGTACTATCGCTTATTGTTGAGACGTTCGGGTATTGAAGGATGGGTTTGACAGTGACATTGAAAGATGGGTTTAATAATATCAATGGTAAATTCAGAAGCAATTTTTTAAGAAAACATCTTTTAAACTTACCTTTATCCTATAATTAAATACGTAGATAACATCATGTTCTACATATTTAATTATAGGTCCAGAGTAAGTTAAAAAGGTCATTCTTCTGAAAATTCGATTTGTTAAACAAAATTTTGTCAGGTAATCTTGAATCGTGATTGGCTAATTTTGAGGTCTAATTAAATCGGTCAAGTTTCAGTAACGGTAAATTAGCTGTTAGATTCATGTAATTTTCCTCGCGTGTATCAGCATTACAGAAGTTTAGCCTGTATTATTGCATCGGATACATTATTCACATTCATTGTAGCTCAATCATTACGACATTTAAATGATAACACGTGTTCAAAGTTACAATTACATGAAATATTTATTTACCTGTTACGTAAAAATACATACGTAACTTACCAGTTACGTGCAGTGCGTATGTACGTAAATTTAATAACCATACATTCAATAGATATTGTCCATATCCGCCGATTTACACGGACTATTGACAATAAGTTACGTGAAAAATACAAACAAGTAAAACGACCATGCTGTCATTATTTTTTGGATATTTTCGGGTAGTGAACGATCGGTACTGTAAGGGAACTGTTAAACCACGTTGCACAATGCACGTGTCGTACAACGAACGTGCCGGAGGTTCATTCAACAAACGTGTCGGAAATTCATAAACGAACATATATATCACGTGAACATGATGTAAGGTTGAAATCGCGTTAGCATTAGTTATTAGTCATTAGAATTCGTAACAACCAGGCGTTCGAGTTGTAGTCATAGTTAAGCAATTGTATTGTAATATGTGATATAAATATATAAGAAGAGAGAAAGCTAATTAGGCTTTTATTTGCAATTTTTAATTTTTTTCCTTTTAACAAGAGGATTTTGTCATTCACATTTTATTCAATTTAAAACTAATAATACAATATAAACATGTTACAAAATATCTAAGTACAATATAATATGCTAGATATTTCTTATATCATATCTTATGTAACTAATGCTAGTTTAAAAAAGTTCTTTAAATTATACCAACAATTGAATTTTCACTTACGACTCATTTGGATACCTTTAAGAGTTCTAAATGCAATTGATCTGCTAACAATTTACTCTTTGAAAGTTTCTATGTGTAGGTACACAGATCAAATCCAAATCCTTAACAGTTTGTTGACTACCTAGTAAAAAACCTCTTGTTTATCTCTTATTCTGTGTCAATTTGATCTAAGATAAGTAGACAATGAAAAGAAAAATAAAAATTTTATATATAACAAAAGATACAAGATCATGTATTATATAATAAATTTGAATAAAGAAAACCTGCTAACAGATAAAAATCTTTAAACAACAAAAACAAAAACAAAAAGAATCTAATATTCCTTTTAGAATGGTATAAAAATTATGTATATATAATACTAAAGTTATTCTTTAAATTCTCAAGAAAGTAGAATACTATATTACAAAGAGAATATCAACAACTTAGGTTTTTTATAGCATGTGTTTGTTATTTGTTTACAGCATGGGAAACAATAGACTACTACTTAATTATTTTTGTTAATACATATTGCAAATCTTTTGGAGAAGGTAAGTCAAATCCTCTAAAAAAAAAACTAATGAGCTAGAGAAAAAATCCAAAAGATGATATTAAAAGAGGCCACTTTTAGAAGAGTAAGATTTTGCTACTTATTTTCTTACTAAAACAGTACAAATACTTGTTGAACTAGCTATCCTCATGCTAGCAAACTACTAGTAAATGTTACTTAGAATAACAGAGATATTTGACAATTTTTCTTATATCTACTACTTTTCTATAGTGTTCAGAAGTTATATTCAGATAATACAGCTAAAAAGAGCTCATACAAAGGAGTTATTCATTCATGATATGTTATAGAAAGCCTAAGAAGAAGAATATTGTTATTTGTTATAGCAAAAAAGATTTTTTCACAGTGTTACAAGTGTCAGCCTTCTTGATTTAATACAAATAACAGAAGACATGGAAGAGGAGCTCTCAATGGTGTCCAAGTAGAATATTACTTCACTGTGGCAGTTCATTACAAAGTAAATGAAAGAGCAAAGATTATACTTTATTTAGAATACAATATCGATAATACAAGACTATCTATTAGTTTCTGTGCTAAGAGAATTCTAATATTAAGGAGATTGCAGAGGTCAAATCTAAGTTGGGGCAATAGAAAAAGGAAGGGTTTATATAGCTTTTATATTGATAGTAAGAATTGTAAGAATTGTAAGAATTGTAAGAATTATAAAAATTGTAAGAATTATAAGTTACGCTAAAGTTATTCTTAAAATAACTCAATAACTATCTGTCTTACAAATATAATTTATAGCTTATTTGAAAGGTCTAATCGATCTGAGTCTAATAGTGCTACTTAAATCTATTCTTAGCTAATAAGTTATCTGTAAAAGTGATAATAAAGTACATTCAAGAAACTAACTATTTATAAAAATACTAATAATAAAATAATTAAATAAAATAATAAGATAAAATAATTGAAACTCATTTTATAATATTTCTGTTCCTTTTAAAAATGAGCACTGCAAATTTTAACTAATTCTATAAGCTCTATAAAATCTTCATCACTTAATGTTTCTAGGTTATTGAAAGTGACTTTAGTAGTAGAGCAAAGTTTATCTAATCCACATATCTGAAAAATTCTATAAACTCTTTCAGCACATTTCTATACCATGTTTGCTTATTGAGATCCTAAAGATTTTTGTAAAACATTTTGAATATCTTTAATTCTTTGTCTATTGTCTGCTATACTTTCCCGTAGTTGTCCTAAGTAGTAGCATGTTTCTAAAGTCTTTATAGGTTGATCTCGTTGTTTTCCTTGATTCTCTATTCTTAGTCTAGAAATAATTTCTTTAAGTTTTTCTTCTTGAGTTAATCTAACTAGAGGGTTTAGTCAAGTAAAAACTTCAGTTTTCTCTATCATTATGTCATTGATAAGTTTGGTGAGTATACTGTTAGGAAGTATTTAATTTTTTTTGAGCTCTGGTTCTTGTAAGAGTGATTTTTCAGTAGCTTCTTTATTTAAATTTTTTTGCTATAAGAGTATAGTTGTTTCTTCTATTTCTAGAAGTTCATCTAGATTTACACTAGGAAAAAGGCTTTCAAATATATCTGCTTCATTTTCTGTGGCTGGAGTTGGAGTTTCTGTTCCTATTAGTATTGTTATCATTAAAAAAATATTTGTTTCATTCATTACAGAAATTTGATTTCCTGTAAGAACTAAACTATAATTTGTTGTAAGAGGGTTTTGATTCCAAATAGTTAGAAATTTATTTAGAGTATTTAAAGTTCAGAGTTGCAATTGTTGAGTGTTTTGAGTATTCATTTTTAGGATATTAATTAAAAGTAACTATTTTAAGGAATTTCTAATTTAGAAAAAATTGTTGGAGTAAGGTCTATATTTATAAGTTTTGATGTTATACAAGAGGTAAATCCAAAATATTTTACGAATTTGGCATATAAGTTTCACTGAGTTTTGAAAAATTTTCTTTTAAAATCTTATTTGTCTATTATTATTACTGGTTGCCAATTTTGTTTTTCATAATATCTAGCTAATCTGTTACTATTATAATATTTCAATAGTATTTTTCCTTCTAAATTTTGGAATTTATAAGCTTCTTTGTTTAGCTTTGATTTAATTATAAAAGGTCTACTTCTTTTGTTTTCAAATTTAGCTGATCTTAAATTTTCTAAGTCTTTTCTTTATACCCAAACTTTGTCTCCAATTTCAAATTCTTCTTTTCGAATATTTATATCGAATCTAACTTTTTGTTTCTTCTGAAATTTCTCTGTATTTCTACAGGCTTTACTATGTTGATAAGGAAGTTCATCTATCAACTCAAATGCTCATTGTAATATACTATCTTCTAAAGTTATTTCTTTGTCTGCATCTATATTTTCTACAGGAATAAGAGCTTCGATTAGCATTTTAGCTTGTTATCCATAAGTCAATTCAAAGAGAGTATATCCTGTAGTAGAGTGTCTTTTTGTCCTATATGCAAATAAGACAGCAGGTATATGTATATCCCAGTCTTCATCTTGTTCTTTCACTTTTGCAAGAGAGTTGCAAAGTGTTCTATTTAATCTTTCTACCATTCCATTTGTCTGAGGATGGTAAGGAGAAGAAAATGTATGCTTAATCAAAAACTTTTCACAAAGTATTTTGACTATTTCACTAGCAAAATTCTTTCTATTATCTGAGAGTATTACTTGAAGTACTCCATATCTACAAACAATATCTTCAAAAATAAATTTAGTGAGAGTTTCTATACCTGCATCTGGTATAGCTTTAGCTT